ATGTAACCACATATTGTCGAGGATACCGTTTTGATATGTTTACTTAGACCGTGAGAAAGCTACAACAATGAAACTAGTAAACACAATATCTGTCTAGAATACTGTTATGATGAATTGTTTTATTAACTTGACAAAAAGCGTAATTTGCTGATTTAACTTTGTGAATACCACGTACCGTTTTCCATTTCGAGTTTTACTGGTCATTTATTGCATGTGTACAATAATTAGTATAGGGCCTCTCTGACTTGCAGATATCAGTCTTCCGTATGTTCGGTGTTATTCTTTGACGCATCCAACCTCGAATTCAGTAAAAATATTCCCAATGTCAACCATGTGCAGTTTAGACACTGATAAAACAAACTGAGCTAGTCTTTATCTCTAGTTAATATAATTCCAGTTTGGGAGTGTCTACGACAGTTGTTAACACTCTTAGTCCCTGAATAAATAAACGAAGCTAGTTTCACCTTCGACCATTGTATTATTCACATGGGAATCAGTATATACGACTCAAGTAGTTTCTATTTTAACTTTTTTATCATTCTACTTATATGAACTTAAAAGTTACTATGTAACAAAGTTTTATTTTTCAGTTGTTGTAAATGTAACAAGACAGAAAATTATTTCGATTTTTGTTTTACCTTGTGTACCTCGCTTTTTTTTTTTTGTGTTAGTCGTATTACGGGTTTAAACTTTCATAAAACAATATCGTGCATGATACAGCTTTGAAATAATTTGTGCCATTGATTAACCGTAAAAGATTTCTAATCGGATTATTAAATTGAAAAAAATAAGTTCCTTCGGAAGATATGCACTCTAGCAGTAATATGAATGATGTAAGTATCTAGATTTATATAATTGTTTAATACCGTTGATACAGAACGGTTTCCTTTGTAAAGAAAAAAGGTTATGACAATGTACTAAACGTCTAAGCTGGCAAAGAATCTCTTGTGAGAGGGTGGGGAAAGACATTGTTGTGAGGTTTATAAACATTTTGTATTTGTTACTGCTGAGGTATGTAGTGAAGCTAATATGCTTGTATTGTCTTTAAAAACAATAGTCGTAGTATAACAATGGTGCCGTTGAAATAACATGTTTGTAGTGGTTTTTTTGACAAACGGGAATATAATAACGCCTTTTATTTTTGTGTTTTACACTCCTTTTTAAAGTTGAGGAGGGGGGGGGGAGAAATGCTTATTGTTTTTATGAATAATATTTTGGGGGACGTGACCTGTATGGGATGGTTGTTTCGGTTCAGTGCACAAGAAGAGCAACCATCGGTGTGAAACTGGGCGATCATTGTGCCTCTACCTGTAAATTTTAAAACCACTTTAGACACGAAAATTAAAACACGTGTGGTGTGAAGTACGTTGTTATTATTTCTGAGCTACGTAAAGTGAGTGCTTCGTTACTATTTCAGACAAATGAATGAGCTGAAACTGTTATACAAAACGAGAACTACTGTAGTGAATTATTTAGTGGAGTGATAGTTCTTCGTGACGAAAAGATTACTAATGATAAATTTATTTGCTGCTTCTGAGATTGACGTCATGGATAATAGTAATTTCATAAACTCGTTTATCAGATTATCGCGGTAACAATGAAATATCTGCTTCTTGCGAAATTCCTTTTCGTAGAGGTTACGATGACAAAAATGTTGGTATTGTTTGGCTTGAGGTACAAACGTTCAGTTCGGCTAGGATACACGCCACACTAAGAACTATTGTAAAGTTCGTTACACTGCAGTCCGTACAGCTGTCCAGTTCTTGGTCCTGTTCTTACGTCGCCATCATACAACATCAGTTAATGTCTTCGAGTAATTATCATTCATTTTGTGATCTGCACGAGAAATTTATGCTGGTTGATTTCAGCAACAGGGAGCTATTTATATCCTAATTTTATGATACTAAGAACATGGCTAGCTGCAACCACCAGTATCAAAGGTGAATTTTTAATATGTTAATAACGTGCTAAAGTCTATACAAAGGTTGTAACGAGTGCATATGTAAAACTGTACTGAAACCCAGTTTTTAATTCGCTCATAGTTTTGGCTCAGGTATATAAATATTTTACCGATCAGATGTAAAGATAGTGTAAAGAGTGGAATACACGCGGCCTTCCAAGTGAACTTTACTTTCTTATTCATGACCTGTAATGTTGCTGCTGGTCCCTGTTGGAGAACCTTTCAAATATGACTTTCTAGATGATTTCGCTATTGACTCTTACTGAATAATCTTCCAGATGATCTATTCTTATCGACGGCCTTTAACCTCAAAATAACCTCGACCTAACAGATGATCCTTAATGAAGAAGCTTCTAGATGGTTTCTACTTTCTCACTAAAGACCCGTGAACTCGGTGTTGGCCCGTGCTGAAGAACCTTGACCTCACTGATGGTCTTCACTTTCTCTTTTATCTTCTTCCTAATTATCCCTACATCCTAGCTGGAGACCTCGAGTCTTAATGTTTTCCTGTTGCAGAAACTCCCATGACCTCCCAGCTACCCTCCACTCGTCGTAATCCCCCCAAAATCCTTCAATCTATCAAAATAGCTGACTTTTCTAAATCAAGTAGCTGGCTTATATTATTTTCTATTGCTCACTTGACCTCAATACTTAAACGCGTTTTTCTTCAGAAATAAAGATGAAAGGCCAGAGATCCCTGTGGTGCAGACATACCGTTCCTAATTTTGAACTGCGGACATAAAGGAAACTGACGATTCTTAACCAAATAGCGGGATTGACTGTAATCTTCATAACACACCCACAGCTGAAAGTGCAAAGAATGCTTGGAAGCACCACGTCTCGAACCCGGAATCCCATACACTAACCACTAAGCCACATTTGATATCCAAGAAAATGCAAGTACCAAGTATTAAAATTAGGGATGCACGGGTAGTAAAGTTTGGCCGAATACCGGGTCCAGGTACCCGGTCACTAAGCCTCGGCCGGGGCCAGGTGTCAACCGTGACCAGATTCTCCCCTTGCCCCCCCCCCCAAAAAAAACAACATACACAAAAATTAGAAACAAAAACAAAATTGACGTTTATTACAATTAACCGAATAATCACCAACAGAACATTCAAGTTATACTTTCAACTTTCAATGCCTAGCCCCAACTTCTCAAACCTTAACCCCTATTGTTCTCAAACCCTAACCCCTATTGTTCTCAAAACCCCCACCCTCCCCAGAAATCCACTTCTCAAGCCATGCCTGTTATTAACTCCTATTATTCTCTGAATCCCCGACTTTCAGCGGGCGGTCAGTTTTTGTTGCTTGGAACATTTTTTTTTTTTTATAACTAAAACATGCATTAGTTGCCACAAACATTAGGGCTTAGATGCCTAGCTTCGACATTCGGCCGGAGCCGAGTATTACCGGGTAGCCCAATACCCGGCCGGGGCAGAATAACTGTTAGGGTACCCGTGCATCCCTAACTAAAATAAATCTTATGCTTTGTATAAAAGTTTATCTTTTTTCTCGCTTGGTACTTACGATCCTATTCTTGTTGAAATGGTTGCTTTTCTTGTGTTAATTGTACAAACGATGCGGATACAGCTAGTAAGTTGTTAATTAGTTATTTTAGCTTTCTTTATTCTCTGAATAAGCCGTCAAAATATAGAACGTTAAAATTCTACCCGTTACGTTTTGAAGGGCATTTCAGATGTTATTGTTACTTTGAATTGGAAAGTTTCCTGGAAGAAAAGGGAGATCCCTTTCGCTCTTTACAACTTCCGTAGCTGGTAATTCCGAAACAAAAAAGCCATCATAATTATTTGATTACAAGAAATTATTATTGTTTCATTATTCTCACACTAGTTTCAATTTGTTTCTCTTTCGAACTAAACGTTGGATATTTTCTTTAACAAGGATTCCGAAATACGTCGCAACATTTGATTAGCTAATCTACACAACTTATCACCATATATTAGATAGTATGTGTTACTCTTCTACTGTTATAACCACATCACGTGATTATTTTGTATAATAGGTAATGTTTTTTTTTTTTCAACTTTTTCAGGTGCAATTGGTTCTATAGTGTTGTCCTAAGCGCGATACTTAGAATATATATTGTATGAATGAATGAAAAAATCCACAATATCTGCAAAGGTATAAATAAAACGCTTTGATTTATGATTTAGAAGGAGCTACCGATCAGCATCTAAGTTCTTCAGTGAAACCCATATTTTTGATCTTTGCATTTTTTACTCCAACTGAGGCAGAGTCCAAATACTGAATTTTACTGCTACTATGTGTTTATAAGTGTTAATTTTTCACTAATATGGCCATGATTTTTCGAAATTATATAATTTAGTAACCCTATAAGTTATTCTGTTCAGGAGTAATATTCGAGTAATGAGATGCACATCAACAGATGGCGCTGTGCAATCAGTGTGAGTAAAATTAACCCTGTATAAAAACGGTAAATTGCTGCCAGATATAAATACTTTAGTGGGAAAGTTTTATTTATCTAAACCTATAATCGTAATAAAAATTGAATCTGCCTACAGTGTCACAGCGTATAAAATGTTGCCCACCTTTGTCAAAACTTTGATTTTAAAAATTTCCTGTGCATAAGACAACAATATTTAGCTGTGTTTTGTAACTAATTTCAATTGTAATCTGAGCTGTTGATTTCATGTATGTCGGAGTGAAAACACGTGATTTTAGTATGCTGTTTTTAAATTTGAACCTTTACAAAGTTATATTCTAAATCAAGGAGTTACAAAATATCACCAAATTAAAAGGTAAACAGTGCGTGTTGAAAATTACACCATTAGAAAGAGCTTAGTAACAAACATTCGTTTCGTTGGTAGAAAGGAATGAAACTAAACTATCTTGCCGTTGTGGGCAGAGCACAGATAGCCCATTGTGTAGCTTTGTGCTTAACTTCAAACAAACAATCTTGAAACTTAAAAAGTATTAACAATTATTTCGACTAACAAAGAGACCAGGTATTCTGATTTATATACATACAAATCTGATAGCTATTGTGTAATTTTAGGTTGTGGAGCTTCTGAACCGCTGCACTTGTCCTACCCAGTTTCCAATGATTCGAGTCTCGGAAGGAAAATATCGCATTGGAGATACAAAGATTCTCATTTTTGTCAGGGTGAGTATATGTAGCAAGTATAGCCTTTAAAAAGAAATGGTTTAGGTGATTTGTATTTCTTTTTTGTTTAATTTTCCCAAATGTATTTCTGAAGCTCGTTCAGCTACGTCTATTTTGTGTGTATATAAGAAACGAAGAAAATTGCAATGATACTAGAACACTTGAAGGATAAAAAGATGAACCTGAAAGGACATTCGACAGCTTATAGCCCCAATAACTCTAATAATAACAGTTGTTACACGATCTTTTAACGATAGAGAAGAATCATAGAAACATCAAAAATAGCACACCTTTCCCTGAACTTTGATTTAAAAAAGTTCCTCCGCTTAAGAAAGTTTAAATCTTACGTTCTGAAACGTTTAAAAAATAAAGCAATATATCTAAGACGATTTTTATAGTTTACGCCATCACGAGGGAACAAAAACAAAACTCGCTGTTTGCAGTTGACTTCCGGCTTGTGTAAACTTCCTCGAGCAACTCCAGTAAAACTCGTCTCATTTTGATTCAAATTAGCTTCTTCCTAGAATGAGAGAAACCTTTCTCCTTACTCGTAGATAGGCCAAAGTTGTATTGCTGGAATACCCTGAAGAATTTCTGGCCGGATGGACATGCGCCACAATGTTACAGCATAGAAAATGTTGCAGGAGTTTCTGGATTTGTCTTGTAACGAACTTTCTTTTTTAATCTTCAGTAGGCTAGTAGCCCGATTTCAACTGTTAGGAGAATCAATTTGTTAGACTTTTGTTGGGTATGCTTTTACCTCGCAGGTTAATAACACGATTTCTAAAAAAAAAATTGTGGTTGCAAGGGAACGCCATCTGTTGAAAAACAATGGAGATGTGTAAAGGAGCAGAAGCCCTTAACAGTTGTCCAATAAATATCTATTAAAATAATACCCGAAAATCTCAAAAACATTTTAAGCGTTCAGTAGTAAAAACAAGTGTTTAATTCACTCACTTTTAATTGAACACTTGAGTATCTATAGTTGTCTGGCATCTATATCGGTACTTAACATTAGAGTAATTTTATATTTCAAGTGTCCCTAATAAGAGAATTGTAAATTATGTCGTAACAAACGTAAAACAGTTTTTTGTACTGGATAACTTTCAATGAGTTAAGGCTCTTAAGGTGTAGATACTGCCAAATAATACTTGAAACTTATACAAAACAACATTGCAGTTAAGAGTCTGCGACTTGCTTTCAACTTCTACGAGACAACTCTACATGAAAGTTGTTATATCATTAAATCGACTGAAGTGTGACGTCAAGTTCTTTCTTTAAAATAAAAACATTTTGTATCATTTATGAGGAATGGCTACTTATATTGTAATCCCTTAAATAAAACCTGTGGCCAGTGAACAATGCTGAAAAAAATTGTTAAAGTTTTGGTAGTCAAACTACTGGCACCATATTAAGTAACAATCATTTCGAAACTAGGATATTTTTTCTTTTTATAACGGCCCCCCAGTGGCACAGCGGCATGTCTGCGGGCTTATAACGCTAGAAACTGGATTTCGATACCCGTGGTGGGCAGAGCACAGATAGCCCAGTGTGTAGCTTTGTGCTTAATTCCAAACAAACCTTTAATAACGAAAATCGCTGGAAAACCCGTTTGTTTACTTTAGGGTCACATATAATGAAATTGAGGGTTTAATTGGTATAAATTAAAAATCTTTACACCCTTTGAATCCACTAAAAATGTGACTGTCATTCCCTTAGAAGGCGTGTCTGTGGAACAATCAGCCTGAGGTGGAATTCCTCTTTTCGAAACGTTTCTACTTGTTAAAACGAATTGATTTTACATTAGGTGGCCCGGCATGGCCAGGTGGTAGGGCGCTCAACTCGCGGGTTCGAATCCACAACTAGCACTACTTTACTTCTTTAACCTGGCATGGCCAGGTGGTTAAGGCGTTCGACTCGCAATCTGAGGGTCGCGGGTTCGAATCCCCGTCACACCAAACATGCTCGCCCTTTCAGCCGTGGGGGCGTTATAACGTGCGGTAAATCCCACTATTCGTTGGTAAAAGAGTAGCCCAAGAGTTGGTGGTGGGTGGTGATGACTAGCTGCCTTCCCTCTAGTCTTACACTGCTAAATTAGGGACGGCTAGCGCAGATAGCCCTCGTGTAGCTTTGCGCGAAATTCAAAACAAACAAACAAACATTAGGGAGGATTATTTAAGCATTGTCAGTTTGATAAAAGAAAAATATAGCAATGATCTCTGTTACATTCTATACTAAAAGTAATCAGCTTCACGTAAGACAAGTCTAGTAGGCATTTGAACCTGTCTTGTACACCCTAATTAGTTTGTGGTCAGTTTCATTATCTGGTTATAGTACAGCGAAGTTTACTGAGGATTAGAAACCATTTCCAAGTAAACCTCTTCCACTTTATTTGAAAATTGAAGCTGTCTTTGAGATTTAAAAAATTAGAAGCTGTCATGATTATCAGCCTTTCGTTCACCAAAATACGACAATACGATTCCAGAGATAGTCAAGGTTCATATTAAGAAAAATAGCTTTACCTTCTTCAATTGTATAACAGAGATATATATGTATATATATTTCGAAGGACTGTGACGTCACTGATTGAGTCTGTACAGGAATTAAAAACTTAAACTACCAGTTTCTCGTGGGAAGAACTGAGACTGTTTATCTTTGACACTACCAAAATAAACACGTTTATTCTTAGTTTAGCTACTTTTGAATCATTTGATTCATAGTGCTAAAAAAGAGTCCAAATAATGTCAATACTTTAAGATGCTGTACTATTCACGGAAACATGACACATGTAAAAAACAAACATCTTAAATGAAACGTTACCACTGTTTGTTTGATTTTTTGTTGAATTTTGGGCAACACGCCACCATCAAAATCAACATTTTTTTATATAGATATAAAAACGGCAATCTCACCGATTCGACACTGACAGAGGTCATGCTTGTTAAGATAATGCTCTAAGGTGTCCCACCCACCTCCCACTCGCACCATCACGTGGTTACGTAGAATCTGTAAAACAAAAAAAACTTATCTCACACATGAAACTATAAAATAAGGAACGAAAGAAAATGACCCTGGCTCTATTGGTCAGTAATACGTCACATAAGCTCTCCTCAGCTAATAGTTATTTTGATTCACCATAAATCACGGCTTACTACTTAAATTCTCACTTCCTCTTCATTTAATCTAGAACCAGCAAAACGGTGCCACATGAACAGGTAACTTCAGAACCATAAGAACCCAAAGGCCAATATTAATGCCGCGGTCTCTTTTCCTGGTTCGAGAGTAATGATGTTGAGTTGTATTTCTTGAATCAAAGAGGTGGTTGTTAGCTAAGAACTAAGCAGCAGCTTCTACGCTGTGATAACACCACCAACATAGGATCTGATTCATCTTAGGCATCAGTTATGTTTTCTCATACATTATAATACATACAGGTTGGAAATCAAGTCATTTATACGGGAGAAAGCACATTTGTTTTTGTACGGGTGCATAGCGAAGTTCAGGATATTGCCATCTACCACAGATTGTACACTAACTATAACAATGATAATAAATCGGCTAATTCACTGTGTCAGCCAACTTCAATTTAACCTTTTCAACACAGATATTTATTCTACAATTCGCATCAGTAAATGTTGTTGTTTTTTCCTGTATTGTCGATGTGTATCTTATTGCTGGACAAGCCTCAGATTTGGCAAAAAAACTTTTTTTTGTTAATGTCATAATGCCAAAGAGCATAAAAGTTCCGGTTTGATATTAAGGATTTCTATTGTGTTCGATAACGAGTTAAAATGATGAAATTAAGAGTATGTTTTTCAGCCATTTTATCTAGGTCCTGGCAAAGCCTAATGGTTAACATGGCAGACTGCAAATCAGAGGGCTCGTCGTTCGCCGCCCGTTGTCGCATAATCGCGCTCCGCACTTCGGGGCCGTGAATGTATTATAACGATTATAGTAAAATAACGCTTTTAGTCTAAACTAGCTGAATAGTTGGCGGTGACTAGCTGTCTAGTCGATCAGTTCAGAGTTAGATATGTCTAGCGAAAAATCTCTTATCTACGCTATTGTTGTAACGGTATCTATTGTTACATAGGTGGATTCTTTCAGAATATTCAGCAGAAAAATTATACAAAGTCCAATCCACTTAATGATAAGAAAAACGTTTTATTTCTTCCAATACAATTTCTTCTGTTAACTTAATTAATCTCAGCGATAGGCACAAGTTCACGGTAAACGCTAACGTAGTGTTGCGTCATCGAGATCACATGACTACAGTGACGCCACGTTTCTAGAACTATCCTGTACTTTGGCGAATGCTCTAGTAATTACTAGATATAGGGTAGGCTGGTATATAAAAGAGGGGAAGGTAATGTAATGTGTGTGTAGATAGTGAGTAATTGAACTGCAGTCAGAAGTATTGTTGACGTTCGTTGATTAGCGTTTGTTTTAGCGCGATTGTTGAAGTTAAGTGTATCGGTAAAGTTATATTCGGAAAGAATAAACCAGTTTTATTAAGAAAGGACTTGTGTCGCTTAAGTTTCGTCGGAACGAAGTTACTGAAAATCAATTAACAAACGGAGACGTAACAGTAGCAATTTCACTTAGTTGCTAATTTCTCTCGCTACTTATGGTATCTCATATTTGTTTGTCGCAAACAGATTCAGTATTAACAAAACTCAACTAGCTGGCTCTCAGTAACAAAATAAACAACAAACTCAGTCACAATCTACTTTAGCCTCATTCATGTTTTGTCCTACTCAAACCATTTCCAAAATCTTTCAAGGAGGTACTAATTATTAAGCCATGTGATGCCAGTCCTCCTTCTTGTAAAACAATACAAATGTCTAGATTTAAAAAAACTCTAATGTTTAAGCTTTAGTGTGTCGTTTTTTTATTACTTCAACTAAACGTAAAATATCTAGTATCAAACTTAAAATGGAGCAGAGTAACTCATGAAAATGAGAGTTTATAGTACCTACTTCAGATTATGTACATTATTTTTTTTTCTGTACCTGTTTTATAACGAGGTGAGCACATAGTTTATAAACCACGTTTCATATAATTTGAAAGTTAACAACTTAATCCAGTTTTTTTCGACAGGTCACAAGTCATTGCCTTCAGCTAAAGTGATTATGACCCAAGGAAAAGGGTGGTCACCTGACATGAAGATCATTTACAACAGGTATGTTGGTATATTATAGAATCACACAAAATATTAAATAAAAGGTGCTATTACTACGATGCAGCACTTATCACCCCCTATTTTTTCTTTCTGTAAAAGTGTCTTGTATAAACAGTGACGTCTCGCTTAATCGCACATGAACGCTTAAAAACTCAAGACGGTATTTTCATCTTAAGGTCTAACTGTAGCAAGCTTAGATATCTGTGTAGTGTAGTTCAGCTATCTCTTAAAATATCCTCATGATAAACACGTGTCGTATGTGGTATCATATCTGATTTAGAACTATGTTTAGATAATATCCAGGAACCTAAGTACATATGTGGTTATCTTTAACGATATATGAAAACACAGGTTATGACTCCCTGTGGTGATGGAAGGTGTCATTTTTATTATGTACATAATCGTTGTACTGTAACAGAACAGTTCACTATAATATAGAAAAGAACTCGTTGATTATAGGGGTTGAATATGTAGCTATTAAACTGATAATAGCTGAACAAACCATAAACCTCTATTGTGTGATTTTTTATTTTTCTTCTTAGACGTGAGATCAGTCCGCCACAGCTTACTGAACTAAGATTCTAACACTGTACTAGTTTTACACAGCGTCTATCGTAAAATGGCACATATATTTCGCACGTAAAGTAAGTTCTTGTGTAGTGTTTCACGAGATGGTTTTACAATATTATTTATATCGTAACTCACTGTCAAACTACTGTGTTCCCTACAGATCTTCAACCACACCACTTGCAGGGTTCAGGAGTGGGCTTGGTGATACCTCTCGTCGTACACGTCAACGTATTTTGGGCACTGCTTCAAATCAGCAGGATCTAGAGACATCTTCTGGTTCACGTGAACCTTCAACAAGTTCTTACCATAGTGACAACTCAACCACATCTATTGCTAACCCTTATTTGGGCAGTGGGAATCCAACTCGAGACATGGGGCGGTTAGAAGTATCTCCCAGACCACAGTTTCAGCTGCCTGGCAAGTTTGCAAGGCCTCCACCATCCATCTCTGGAGACAGCTCTTCTGAATTCTCTGAAGGAGAAAGTCGAGCAGGTTCTCGAAGATACTACCACCCTCGGAAGTTGTACCGCATGTCAGAAAATGGGAAAGACTTTCTTATAACTACCAACAATTTCTACTCCTCTGAAGCTTATGATTCGGGTTTTGGCCCAGAGTCGTCTGAGACTAGTTCAGTGGTGTCAGGAGACGATCTGAAAGAAATGAATGAGTTTGGAAAACCAAAATTAAAGGATAGAGTTGAAGCTCATGGGCACAACACAAGAGAAACCAACACATATTCAGTATCTTTCAATACTAATGCATCAACTCCTAAATCAGCAAAAAAATTGAAACTGCCATCAACAGATCGATTTGGAAGAAAGACGACATCAACCATTTGTCACAAATCTCAGAGTACAGAAAATTTGTACTCTGGCAGATACAGTGAAAAGTTGCAGGTTTATCGGCAAAATTCATCCGGATATGGTCGAAAAGGACGACGATCTTCGACAGATTCATCAAACTGCACACCACCTATTTCAAGGAATTTTTCTCAGAGTGGTGACATGAGTGAAATTGGCTCTTCGTTATTAAGAAACTCACCTGGACAGTTTTCCTACAAACCACCAACAAATGTTCGACCAAAAGTAGACACAGGGAGTAAAACTTGGGCGTTCAGGCAGCGTCCATCCAGAAAATCTGTAAGTCCTGATATTTATTGTCATTCTTCTGGAGGAAGCACCACTCCATCTCCCAATAAAACAGTCATAAAACTGAAGACCAGAAGTGCAGAATCCAGCCTCCATTGTAGTCCTAGAAAAGAATCTTCCACCAAACCCACGGCTAGCAAGATGCAAAGTCTCTTAAAAGACATTGATTTAGGTACAGATGATCAGTTCTTAAGTGAAATGCAAAAATTCATACATAGCTATAGAGAAAAAATTGAGAAAAAACTGAAGGAAGAACAAGATGATACACCTCTAACCTTTAATGATAACACCTCCTCGACACCAGCCATGATCTACTCTCCCGATTCGGATCATCCTTCAAGTCGAGGATCTAGTTGCATCCAGCTGTCTCCAAAAATTCGTCCCAGGCGTGGGAGTCAGGGTGGGTCTACAAAAATTCCTGTACCAATGTGGTATAACAAATAAATTGTGCAGTTCTAAAGGACAGTAATAAAAATGATTAAATATGCTTAGCACCCTGTTGTGTCTTCTTACTCTAGAACGTGTCCACCCCAGTCAAGCAAGTAGCTACCACCCACAACAATTCTACACAATTATAATATCAGAAGCAAATAGCCTAACATTGTAAAGTAGGGAAGGAAATCAGTTTGTGAAATATCTCATCATAAACAGAAAGTCAGGTGAAAGCAAACATGCTAAAAATAACAACATTCCAAAGTTTGAACATCGGATTGATTTCTACTACCTTTTGTAATGGCTCAGTACCGATAACATAACAGAGTTTTGTAACAAGAGATCAAGAGTAACTGTACCATAAACTAACGCAAAATTTAATATGTTCCACTACTTTGCTGTTGAATATCTTTCCGCGATTCCAAACTGTACAGTAAGTTACCAGCTCAGTATTATAAACCTGGCTTTCCGTCTGGAGTGAATATACTATTACCCTGATTCCTTTTAAATAAATAACTCTTGATATTCATTATGCTAAATTTGTTATATCAATATCACACGTGTCTAATAAACAGTGCTATTTTGGTTTTTATCAGTGAAGGCTTCCTGTCATGTATTTATATAAAACTTAAACATATAGTTGTAAGTTGTACCATAGAACTAACCTACATTGCTAGTTAGTTGTGTTCTATTAAACAACTGCTAAAGTTCATTTGTGCTCGGTTTTCACCGAAGTCCACACCAAAACTATTTTAAGCAATGCTAAGTCCTAAGTTTTCAACAGTCTTGGTTAACAAATATTTTATGAAGTTTGGGTTCTCATGTAGTTTATATACAGTATTCGGATTCACTGGAGTTAAGCCTAAATCAGTGAACTTGAACCTGAGTAGACTGAACTTGAGTAGATGTAGTACAAAACAACTTTTCATGTTATCTACTTAGAAATATATGTAACATGAAGGAACTTAAGCTGGAATTTTAATACTAATAATATATACAAATTGGTCTTGCGCAGTAAGGACAGTATGACGATATTAACATCCTACTATCGTTACCAACACAGCTCATACATTCCCAAAAATCAAGTTAATCTCTATAATGTTAATTTCAATTTTGACGTGATTCAATGTGCTTGGAAGGTCTATAACCTTGAATGGACTCTTGTTAATTTATATATTAATGAATAAGAATATTGCCACAAACGATTGTCAATGTAATAGTTCTCGTTCCAGTAAATTGTCCCACATAACGTTTTGTACAGAAGGTAACCTATGAATTGGTAAGTTTTACAAGTTGTGACTTACTTCATAAATATTTAATCCACGTGACTTAATGACCTCTTCCCTATACTATATTGGCTAACTCACCAAAGCACCGCGTAACTCGGGTACACCGTATGGTCCTTTTAGCTAGTGTTAACCTCGCTGTAAATGTGGTTATTAAGTACGAAAGCTCTCTGTTATACTCCTTGTCAGAAGAGTTTGTCAATAAAACATTTCATTATTGGTTTTAGTCGAGTACCACAATAGAAACACTTGTGTAAACATCCAGAGTTTTGAAGTTGCAGCCACTTTTGGAGTCATTATTAAATGTTAACTTCTAGTGTTGCTAGACGCACTATATAGCAAAACCCCTAATGAAGACAGTTAATGATTACCGGTTAAAGAAGTTTGTTTGTTTTTGTATTTCGCGCAAAGCTACACGAGGGCTAGCTGCTCTAGCCGTCCCTAATTTAGCAGTGTAAAACTAGAGGGAAGGCAGCTAGTCATCACCACCCACCGCCAACTCTTGGGCTACTCTTATGTACTTTACCAACGAATAGTGGGATTGACTATAAACATTATAACGCCCCCACGGCTGAAAGGGCGAGCATGTTTGGTGTGACGGGGATTCGAACCCGCGACCCTCAGATTGCGAGTCGAACGCCTTAACCACCTGGCCATGCCAGGTTAAAGAAGTAAAGTAGTGCTAGTTGTGGATTAGACGTTAAAATTCTGGCAGAGGGCATTAGTGTTTGTCTGAAAATTAGTCAAGTTTACAAACTGTGCATTTGTTAGAATAAATATTGCACCGCTGTTTTTACATTTTGAAGTCTGTTACCAAGCAAGTGTGTTTTGTTTCAGTACGAAAACTTGTAAATAACTCTGTGTTTTTAGTGTTTTTTTTTCCAAGCTAGATTTAAACTGAATATCTTCTACTGGATCCTATGATTAGGCCAATATATTATTTTGATGAAAACGTTCTACGTTACCATCACGTGTCCGTTTTTGCTAGAAAACCCGAGAGAGGGCACTACGTAAGTTATGACAGAGCGAATAAAAGCAACATAATCTCTTCAGTCTCACAAAACATCAAAATAAGACCGCATTAAGCTAAGCACTACCAAATCCTGACAGAAAACAAATAGTAAAACGTACGTGAAACTTTGTCTATTGGGTATTTCTACTATTTTCTGATATGCAACACATTATCATGTTGAGTCAGAAAAGTTTAACCCTACGATCATGATTCTTCATAGTGTTGATAAATATGACTTTATAAATTATATTATGAAGTGGTGTTACATCTCTGTTCGTTTGTTAATTTCCGGTAAAAATTCTTTCCGAGTGACTTCAGCGATACAATTCCCTTCTTGATTAAAACTAGTTTATTCTTCCTTGTTACAAACTTTGTAATACACTTAATTTCCACAGTCACTTTAAACTTAACAACCTTTATAACGCACGCTATAAATCACAGTGATTCACACTTTACTTACGGTGCCTACTGTTGGCTTGACTCAATTACCTATCTCTTCAATCAAATCATCCCCAGGCTTATATACTAAAAAAGGAGGCGCCTCGAACAAACTAGTTGCCAGGGAAATTCATGATTCTTCCAGAAACTCCAGCGCGCATGTTCCCAGAATAGCGTGACTTCCGTTGTCGTAACAGCAGCTTTGCTACCAGCTTTACAATAAAAATAGTGGTGAATAAGCATATAGAGAAATCATGTTTGACTGAATAGAATAAATGCAGAAAAACGAGGCAACTAAATATAAGTAGTTTGGAGGGACTTCTAGGAGGATCCACCACCTAGTGGCTCTAAGTAACATTACATTGTTTGCTTGTTATATCTAGACACAGCGTTACAATAGGTATACGATAATTTTCTTGAAAAATACGAGAGGCTTAACCTTCAGTAATTTGTATTTTTAACAGCGGGATTGGGTGAACTTTGTTAGAACTAACATTATGTACAATTCTTTCGCGAGTCACATATGTACGAAAAACAATAAATAGGGGTTACTTCACATTCGCAACAAGTATTATACAATATTCGCCTGCTGATTTGTGAAAAGATTATTTGATTTCTGACAACAGTTTCCGAGTATAGCTATTGGATACAACATGATTTCCAAGGTAGCTTACTGATCTTGACAAATGAGCAATTTTAAGATCTGTTGTATTTGTTTAAAAGGCATTGTCGCATGGCTGGGAAAACGCTTTCTTTTAAGGAATTATGGGAAATATCTTAAGATGATTCATTGCAGTTTCGCTTAATCTTTTAGGGGTCATCAACAGTTATCTAGGAGGTTGGGGAGTGTAGAATTGTCAGACATCAGTAATTACTAAGGTAACCAGTAGCAGCTTTTGTGACTTAGTGCAAAAAAAAGCTTATAAAAGTAACTGTTAATATTTATATATATATATAGTTCATAAGTTTCAAGCTAGATCTGTATCATTGTTGGCCAATAAATGTTTGTGTTTAACAGAACTTTGGCCTGTTTGGTTTTCATTCAATGTTATTAACATTTGGACTTAACTGAATCATATAAAATCAGTGTAGCTTTAGTCAGTTCTTATTTCTCAAAAAAAAAAAATCCTTAAATGATAGTTAAATATTTCCTAATGACTGACCTATATAGGAATAAAATCCACAGACTATAGTTAAATATCTCCTAATAACTAACCTTCAACAGAGGAGTAATATCCTAAGATAATAGTTAAATATCTTCTAATGACCGACTTTCTACAGAGAAGTAAAATCCTAAGATTACAGTTAAGTATCTTCTGAGACTGACCTTCTACAGAGGAGTAAAATCCTTAAATGATACTTAAATATTTTCTAATGACTAACCTTCTACAGAAAGCGAGAAAAACCCTCAGATAATAAGTTAAGTCTCCTAATGACTGAGCTTCTACAGAAAAGGAGTAAAATCCCCAGATGATAAGTTAAAATTCTCCTAATGACTGAGCTTCTACAGAAAGCGAGAAAAACCCTCATATGATAAGTTAAGTCTCCTAATGACTAACCTTCTACAGAAAGGGAGAAAAACCCTCAGATGATAAGTTAAAATTCTCCTAATGACTGAGCTTCTACAGAGAAGACAACCTTGCACTGCAGATGCCAAGGCTAAAAAAACTGATATTTCTACACTTCCAGGATAAAGCACACCTCCTTCCATTATATTGGTGGGTGAGGTTCACATTTAATTTAAAAAAAAAAAGTGAATAAAAAAATATTCATTCAAAAGCCATACCATTTAGCAAAATATAAACCATTCATACTTCTTTT